CACACAGACTGTGAGTCTCCTGAAGAAGTGGTCGGTTCAGAAATGAGACGAGCAACCATCCTTGAAAAGAGCCAGAGATAATACGTCTGAACAGGGAGCTTTGTGATGTTTCAGGAGACGAAGCTCATAGGCAACCTCGGCGTCAGATGGCGGAGTGGTGCTTACACACCAGGTAACTTCGTGGGTACATGAATGGCAACTTGATAGCAATGTAGGTCAATTGAACTACTGTTCGAAGTGCTTTGCCCAACGTACAAATTGGTGTTGGCGATTGTAAATTAGCTCACTACTAGTTTCACATACCACTTCGCTTACAGTTGATTTCTCACCACTGGTGAATCGGGTAAGAGAGAAGAGCCTGCAGAAGTTCTCTGAGGATGCAGCATCCACAAAGCTTCGCCATCTTCCCTGAGGAGCTGTTTGAGCTCGGCGTTGGTAGCTTTGCTCAATGTGTTATACTCAACACACTAAACCTCAATTTTATGACAAGAATAGTGTTTCATCCTATGATATCTCAGCTGCTGTGTTACAGCTAGCCTCGGACAACCCTCCTGTGAACAGTCTAGTATACAGAGAATTAATCGGACTGTAGGTGAACAAAACACCCCCTCCGGATAAGTTGTCTCCTGGGAGAGCCCTTCGCCGACACGCTGTGCTTCAAGCAGCATAAGATAGCTAACATTTGACGAAGCACAAACATCACGCCAGTGCCAGCGAAATGAATTTGCTAGTATCGACCGATCGCATGCACGTTGGTTACTTAAGACATTTGAGAGGCTTTTTCTCAGAACTATCTCGCACAAACCCATTCCGATGACCCTCATCAGTTTGCATATCGCAGGTCAAGTTCCACCTTAGATGCAGTAGCATGTCTGGTACATACTATGCTCTCGTCACTGGATAATAAAAACAAATCCATCTGCACCTGCTTCCTGGATCTTAGCAACGCTTTCGGTTGTGTGAACCGTGAACTACTGTTGTGCGATCTATTAGGTTCCGGGTTCCAAACTCTTGTTGTTCTTCTGTTGAATACTACTTTACCAGGCGTACTCAGTTTACCAGATTAATGGGGAAAAACTCTTCTTCAATCACGACAGACTCTGGTGTTCTTCAAGGAGCCATTTTGTCCCCATTCCTATTTTCCACTTATGTTACCCCAATCCCCGTCGCTGAAGAAGCCATCTTACTGAAGAATGCAGACGGCGTAATCCTTAGTACTCATCATCCAAACATAGACTCATGGACCAAAATACAAACCCTCCTGGACAACCTCACAGGTTGGTCCAAATCCCGTTATACTCCTCAAAATACAAGGATGTCCTTTTTACGCTGTTCAAAAAAAATCACTACCGACAAATCCTGGCGCAGTGTCCGAAACTTTGCATCGAAGGTGAATGATTGATCACTTCCACCTCAGTAAAATACCTGCGAGTGATGCTGAGCACCGGGCTTACCTGGTCCGTTCATGTGAACGAAACACTCGCTTAGAAGACTCTCATTCTATGTTACACATCTCAGGTGATCTTCCATACCCCGATTTGTTTATCCAGTATTTTATCACTGCATGTGTGTTATTCTACTAGACCTACTGCTCTCCAGTTATCTTTCCTGGTCTCCTGAGTAAGGCCCTTAAAGTCCCTGTCAAATCAGAGAAGTATCTATTCCGGTGAAGTGGCATTTCAAGCATTGACATTGTCAACATTGTCGCCATCCATGTCAACTGCAAAAAGTTTGGATCTAAAACACTCACAGATGTTAGCCATCCCCTACGCAGAGCTTTGTCTTCATGCATATTAACCTCGTCCTGGACCAGACATATCTACATAACTATATATGCCCACACAAAGGCCTATGGTACATCTGTTTTTCCTTTCTTATCACCTTTTTGGACGATAAAAATCCATTTATTCAAGTACTGATTAGTAACTTACTCTAGCGAAACTTCCTCTGCCAACTCTTTTTCAACGAGCGTGGTTTTATCTTCATCCGCATGTACTATCACTGCATTATTTATCCCATTCCGTAGCGTGTGTTAGGGCTGAATATTCACCCTACAGTGGTGTATAAAGCAAATTCTTGACTTGCCTTGTCAGCATCAGAACTTCAGTCGACGGAAGAATAGGCGGAAAACACCAACGAATAGCGTCTAGTACTGCTTCATGATTCAACTTTAGTTGCTGTCCTCAGATGGTCTGCACAAAACGGCTCTTCACGAGAATCCAATTTACCAATGATGACAGTCTTGGAGTTGAGAACGATACGTACTCCAGCTTTACCAGTGAATGCCGCATCAGTGTATCCGGATGCATGCAACCAATAGCGAGAGGACGAACCGGGTGCAGTTAATTCAGCAGTCCCGTGGAGAGTCATTGATTAGGTTCGGACACACAACACACGTCAATACCCAACGTGTCTAACATGCGTGCAAGTATAGCCTGTTGACCTGTTTGTTTTAGAGTGCGACCGTTGAATGCCGCCAGAGAACCGGGACAGTATCCTTATAAGGAGCTGTTGCTGATTGGTGTCCAGTGAGTGGTGCGGGAAAACAGCTGCAGATGGCATGAACCCAATGACATTGCGGTGGTGTCAATTAAATTGTGAAGTGTAGAAGAAAGCATAGTAGTGGGGACTTGGAAGGGAGTAAGAGAAACAGGTGGGAATGAAAGAAGGGAGACGCCAGCAGTATCATGTTTTCGTTTATCTGCCTTGTATGTAGCAGATAAGGCGACCCTTGATGAGATGCGCGATATCCCATGCAAGATATGGTGAATGTTTGAAGAAATAGTCATGATTAAAAGCCAGATAAATTGATCCTCCTGGTCATCTAGGTTGATGTTGGTTGGATTGGTTTCTTATTCGTTAGCCCACTGCCAAATTCACGCAGTCAGTTCTTCGAATCAAAGGATTTGGCTGAAGAGTCTAACTATTCTAATGTGTATAGGTCTGAGCAGTTTGATAGTATCCTAACGACGCAATACAATGAACTCTTTCTCTGAATTAGGAAAGTGGATAAATCTGAGTATCAAGCGGCGATAAATTATGTTCGTCTCAGAGTAGTGGTACCATCTAAAATCTACCAATGTATGTTCATTACATGATATTTCGTTCTGGATGTAATAATTCAAGCATGGCAATGATTGTTATAAATGGGCCGAAGCGATGGAGACCATCATCTGCCACTTGGAGTGAGAATCTTTACCTTGTTGTGGACGTGATGCGAAACCGCTGGTCGCCAACATGTCAGGTTGTAGATAGGTTATGCATCTCACAGGAGCAAGAAGACCACGTTCTGAATATTTGACTTGACTATTCGAAAGTTTCCGCTCGTTGCGTCTCTCAAATTTTAACTGTCGAACAAAAGCATACTCGACTCGAGCGATTTGGGACTGTTTAATGTGGATAATTCCCCTGCTTGATTCATTACTCTGGATTGGTGCTGTGTGCCCCACTATCGGCCTGAAAAAGATGATCCAGGCAACGGGATCACATCACATCTCCGATAGCAAAGGGAATCAGGGTCATTCCTTTTGCTGGGAACTTGGTGACATCGGTGTTTTGGAATGCTCGAAATGTGGTGATGATGGCTTTCTCATACCTTCACCGGAAACTATTACGTCTCAGGCAAAAGGTTAGGAAAATAAGGTCGTGAATGCTATTAAAAGGTACCCTCGTCCACTATTACGTTGCTTCATTCCACACATCCACACTCGCCTTGAGATTAATCTGTACGTTTGCGCTTGAGATCGTTCCATACACACCCTGTCACCAGACCTGACCCACCTCGGACTTCCACCTGTTAATCAAATTGGAAAAATCCGGTTGCTCGGCGTTTCCCTTACGATAACGGCATCATGTGTCGTCGGTTTTTTCCAGTGAAATAAGGTAGCTTCCGCGCCACTGACACATAAGTTGATTTGTTTCGTTGTGTCCAAAATCGTTCCGGTCATCCCTCGTATTATCACCGCGATGGGAATTACGGTGACTGGACTGGGACCCGTAACATCGGTTTATAGTGTCATAAGACCGTTGCTAAATACCGAACATGGATCTTGATAGCGTTAAACGAAAAACACGAGTAGCTTTCCAGAACTGGCTACAATCACTTAACCGCTACCATACCTTATGCATCCCATAAGGTGTTCACAAAATCATCCACTACAACTGTGCACTTCGATATCGATCGGATGACGGAAATTACAGTACACTGATCACAGATAACACTGTATTCATCTTGGTAGCCTGTCTCATGATTTAAGTATTCATGATAGTATTTTAATAGGTCCTCTTGATCAACGCACTATCCTGTGTCGTATCAATCACATACTGACATTAGCAAAGTGTTGAAGAGCACTGAAATCATTATTTTTTATTTTAAGTTTTCACACGACACCATTGCTTTTTATTTCATGTGCTCATCCCAGATCGAGAACTTGGACTGCCTAACCGAGTTGACTGTGCTGGACCTAAGCTTCAACAGGATCAAACGTATTGAACATTTGGCTGCTTTGGTTAAACTAAAGAAACTTTTTCTGGTCAACAACCGGATAGGAAAAATTGAAAACTTGGACGGTCTGATAGAATTGGAAATGCTGGAACTGGGTTCAAACAAGCTACGCGCTTTGGAGAATATTGATCATTTGATAAACTTGCGCCAGTTGTATCTCGGCAAAAACAAAATTCCAACGATTGAAAATTTGGACAGTTTGGTGAACCTCACTTTACTAAGTATTCAGGTGAGCTTTCTGTTGCCAAAATTCACGAAATGTATCTCGACTTACTCTACCATTTACAATGTACGTTTTTCTCTAACTTGGCCTCCATCGCACCTTCTTCCCAATCGCTTGCTTCAACGCGCCATGTGAGTAGTGCCACCGTGGTAAATAGACTGTGACCACACGGACTGTCGTGAAATTGATGCAACAAGTATACATTCCATCAGCGATTTATCAACTTGATTCCACTAATATAGTCGACTTACTTTTTGTGATACTATCCCGGTCACCGGCACAAAAAAGTGGCTTGGAGTTGGAGGCGCAGGTACATCACCTTGTTTTCCGTAATGATTGCAGTTCAATCAAAGCGCTCGGCAGATCAGTCCTCCCCATCTGCTTACACGCGGTCCAATGGACGTTATGTGGCTTAACTACGCCCCCTCATTCCTGATCCGCATCCCACCTTGCAACCACGTAAATTCTTCAGAATGGCTCACTATTCTTGATACATACACCCAGGTTTTTGTTTTTTCTAACGAGCTGAAGCCATGCTACGAGGTCAATCTGATCACGATGTGATTGTATCTTCTCACTCTTTATATTTGCTCAGTTGCTTTGCTTTTAGTGACACCGTGCTCATCCGTAGAAGGTGACAATCGCCTTGCTATATTAGAATTATACGATTACGCTCTAGTTTTTGTACTAGCCTGTAAGATTTGAGAAGAGTGTTCTGTACTTGTGGGTTCATTTTGAGGCACCCGTTGTGCGAATGAATGTCAACATGCAATCTCAACCTCAACTGCGGTTAATGTCCAAATGAATCTCGGTTTTTCGACTATTAGAACAGGTAAATATCACCACTATCCCAATTCATGCGCACCACAACAGGTGCTTCAAAATGAACTCACAATGAGCCACCAGCCATTGTAAGATTCATGACTCGCGGCTCGGTGATGTAAAGCGCTCCGCCAGTAGGCTCCGGGTTCGAGTCTCCGTTGTGCGCTGTCTCCTCCGCCCGACGAGCTCAGACAAGCGCAAAACCGGTCGTGAAGCGATCCACAGTCCAACATCAGTTTGTCCCTTGTTCATACTCTTGATACCAAATCACTTTTGCGTAGTAGGACCTACGCTAAGCCTTGTGCGTGTGCTGCCAGCCCTTAGCCGGAAGAATACATGCTCATGTATAACGGTGAGGGCGTCCTGACTGAGATGCCATGCTTGTTTACAGACTGATAGAGTCTACATTCTTGCATCTGACCCGCTGTTCGTCGTCATTCATTTTTCATCTGTATAACGCATTTCGCGTTGATTCAATTGCAGTGGATCAAAAGCTTCTCCACCCGAAACAAAGAGAGCGTAGCCATCCACCTAAGCCTTCTTTTCCACCTATGCACAACCCCAAACCAGTCTTGCAGGTGTATTAGGTTAGGTGAAGAGCGAAGGCTTACCGGTTCACTCCGTCTTTTAGAATAGGGTCCAAGATGCCAACAAGTCATCGTTTTGACCGATTTTCCAGTTCAGTCGCAAAAGTAATGATGATTTATTCTTTTCTTTTGTCTGACTGGTATCTATCACCTACTTTGTGCAAGGCATGATAGTTTGCGCCACCATCCATAGATGCCTATGAAATAAGAGAAACGTTGCGCGCACACATTGAGTCTTCACGAGGTAACCCGACATACAGAACCCTACTGCTACTGATCTATCCTTTCCCATTCTCTGTTATCATCGTTTCACCTCTAAGGTCGGCTATCTGCACTTAACATATAGGCCCCAATCTCCAGGATTACACCTCATGGTCATGAGCCTCATCGAATTTGCTCCGCTCCGTGATAGTACCGGTGCTAGGTAGAACAAGTGGACACTCATTTGTGCATTGAAATATTGTGGTCGGTTAGCCGTTCACGAAGCGTGAACTCGATCGCAGTGTGGATGAGCATGAATCAGAAGAAAGCATGAAAAGCACTTGCCGCGAATGGGCATGTTGTGTAAGCTGTCAGGCAGCTTTCGTTTCGCTGTTTAGCTGCAAGTGCCAACTATGCCCTCTTTTTACAATTGCCTTCCTGTGTTTCGTGTCCGCTGACGCTGTCTGTGAATGTTACTTACTGCAATATCGGACACAGCGGTCACGCATCATTCGAGTCAACTGGCGCAAGCTTAGCTAGCAGTATGACATGTATTGAAAGCTGATTTTTCTCTTTCATCTAGAAACTACCGCTTGCTTCTGAATCACTAGTGAACGCGACAAGTTTGCGCCATTCTCTTTGACACTTCCGTCTGAAAAATATCCTAGACTGCCACGGATCTCGTGACCGATTTCAGTAGTCCGCTTTTCAATTCGTGGAAGGCCCAACATTTCTGGCGTTCCTCTACAACAGTCTCGACTCAAGCTAAAAACAATAACCACCAGTTGTATCGAGCATTGTAGAATTTCTAAGGTGTACTGCTGCATTGCATCAGGCGGGCGCTAAAGTCTAAAGGGAACTTTGATTTCTTCCCTAAATTGTATCGTCTATTTAAAAACATGGTAACCCTATCGGGAGTCACAGATTTCAGCGTTAAAAGCAGTTTTCTAGGTACTCCCTTCACGGATTGGCAGTGCCACAGCCTGGCACGATCAACAGACTCGAAAGCGGCTTTTAGTTCAAGAAAAATCACCAGACGACCATAGTGTCGTCCGGATGTGTCTCTGTTCTGACACTTGACGAGGAGGAAATATGTGGTCGATGCAACCTAGACCAGGGCTGAAATCAGTCCTCACCCATAGCGCTTGAAAACCGCCCGGACGAGTTTGTGAATACTCATGCGTATTGGATTCTTGATGTGAGCTTGCATGTTTAATCGCAGTCAGCCAAGAGTCGATAGTGTCCCTTCTCCAGATTAGCTGAGTAGACAATGGTACTACTTGAACCGAAGGCACTGTCACTGCGCTTGCGTAGCACTGTTCATATCTTTTGGGAGTAACGAATAATACTGACGCTTTCAAACTGGTGTTTGGCGTGAAATTTTCCGGTGCCTAATTTTATTGTGTTTAACCAGTGATACATGTATTCAGTTGGTGATATTCTCCGTGGATTTCAGTCGGCTACTTCGATGTGCGCTGTTTGCTGCTACTGATGCTGCACCTGGTTGCGTTAGGTTTGAGGTGACCAGTGGATGATTTGGTGAAATGAATGAGAGAATTGTAGCGCCCCAAAAGATAACTTATCTTTCACGTACAGTTTCACTGCTGATCTAATTACACAGTACCCGCTTTTGTTTTACTGCTCCTCACCTTCCGTCTTTATCCCCACCCACTCGTGAGTTACAGTGTTGTGATCCGCTGCAGTCCCGTTTCATTCGTCCACGTTTTTGTAGCCCATCGAATATTGTCCACTGCGTCTGACTTTGTTTGACTTCTGAAATCCGCGCTCGATTACGCGCATTTTCTCGGACCAGTATTTATCGATCAACAGGCTTGATCAAGTCGTCTTCTCGAATCTGACTCTGGATCAGATCCATCAATGGTTAGTAACTCTCTCCGACATTGCACAGCGACAAATTTAATGGAGCTATTGTGTCTGGTTTATTTATTCGAACAGTTGGAATCTACCCACTTGGTGGATATCAGGTTGTCCATTTGGCGGTATCTCTAGGTATGAATAACGCTTCATTTGCGATTGTGGTCAAAATAAACGTTCTCTCGATCGTATGGGTGTTGTCTGCCCTAAAACACCGCATTCCACTATGTGTTTCTACCTTGTTTGATCTCATCAAATGGAGACAGCATGCCTCGAACCTAGGACCACATTGGGATCTCTATATCTTTAGCCACCGGGTCACGACGGGCAATGCTTATCCTAACGATTAATGAGTAATTTGGAGGTTATAGTGATCGAATTGGCCAATGTTCATCACTATACGTATCACGGTCCACAATGAGATCGTGTGTCACGAATCTACTCACACAAGGGGTACTTCAGAATGACCCTCCAATCGTTCTCTCGATGTTTTCAACGTGCAGCAAACGTCACTGATTCAGATTATAGTCGCATCGCAACGCTGTGCTACATGTTCTTGTTCAGTAAACAATGGGAGCTTGTATATAATAAGTTCGGGGCTTCGAAGCGATACATGTATTTCACCTATCCAAGCAGTAACTCATTCAATGACCTGCTCACTAGACGTTGTCGGCTACCCACTTAGGCGAAGCGCTCTCCATTTAAAGCAGTTGCCCTATGATTTTGAAGAATCGGCTGTTAACCTAGCCTTACAACAGCGCCGTGCGGACTCACGCTAGTTGGCAACTGATGGAAACATAGCGCGCCGGCTGATGCGCTCCTCCAAATGTCCTCATTAATAACTGACGTCACTGTCCAACTTCCTATTGTTACTCAACCGATTGTTAACAAAGGTGATGGCTAAGTAGCATCGAATTTAATACTTTCAATAAGACCGTGGGGGCGAACGCCCGCAGTCTCCAAGTTGATTGACAATCTCAGAGTGGCGCAAGCCATTTGCAACTGATGGTGGTGACGTGACCATGCGTTTGTCAAAAGAATCGGAGCACGTCCGACAGCTGCTATTCCCTACCTTTTCAATAATCATTCTCAATAATTTAATGTTGACCACTGGTGGAAAAACGACTGATGCGCTTACAGCAGCTGGGAAACACTACCCCTGGAGTTAGGACGACTCGCTTTCTAAGCACTAGATATTACTGCAAGGTCCGGTTTGCGCGCCATCATCGGTGACGGGTACCGAACGACTGCAGCAAATAATCTGTCGCCTCGTCTACTTAGGTAGTTGTATCGATTTCGATACTCTGTCCGCCGAGGAAGCCACTGCCCATGTCACATTCCTAATGCCTTTGCAATTATGGCAATCTTTAAGCGGTAGTAGGCCAGTCAAAGTTAATATGTTGTCATTACCCTTCTGCGTCACACCGAAGTGCCTATTAAAGCTACCCTGCCTGCACTGGTACCTACCCGCATTCTACTCCGGTGTGCTCGTTGTCATTTTCACTTTGTTTGGCGACCCATGAAAATGCATAGATTGGGAAAGAAAAAGAAGCGAGCTTCTGATCGAAGTCGCACCGATGAGCGTGTTCATCACGAGTGAATCTACCACATCGGTAGTTAAAAACCAGCCTTATGTAGGGGTCTAGAAACCAATATCTCTCCTGTCTTTACCGTGCGCATTGCGTAGCATCTGACCACTCCACCATGCCAAAATTAATAATCTAGTCTTTAGTTTAAGTACTGTGTCCTCTGCAGGACTGTGCAGGCCACGCATGCAATTATTTGTGTCCACGGGAGTGACGACGCAGCCAGGGAGCCTCCAACCGCGTGCTCCATTTTCGCAAATCTCATGAACACCCTCCCCTGGTCTGGCGGGCCTTCAAATTCTATCGTGCTTTGTGATTCCTGTCCACCGGATTAATCAACATACACGCTGTTCTTCACTATTTTATTCTCCTCTTGTTTCAACTCAGCAGTTTTAATTGTGCAAATCGCGTCATGATTAGTTACAGTCGCGACGTATTAAAAAATCTGCGCGTTTTTACGAACGTGAATCTATCGCTTTTTCCTGGTCAGTCTGTAATGGAACAAAAATAATCAAAGCAAAACGAAGCAGTTCCGCAAGAAAGCATTACGCAGAATGGAAGGTTGCACTTTGAAGGAAAATACTCCGCTGTAGGAGTATACTTATTTTAATCAATGCCAACATCCGTTCGCTTACGGGGAAGATTAGAAAATCTCAAAAGTATAACAAGTCGCGAGTACTCCCGACTTGATGTCATTATGCTACGAGAAACCTGGCTGCACGATGATGTGGAAAATACCTTCATGACACTCGCCGAATTACAGCGCATCGCGCTGACCGCCTATGTATATACGGGCACCGTGGCAGTGCACGTCAACAAAAATTATTTTTCGTCCATATGCGCAGCGCATTAGCTGTTTACTTGTGAAATACAGACCTCGATATTTGAGTGGCTATCGTTCGATTCTATTAGCCAACATTTGCATTTCCCCCAGCTGCCCTATAGCTGATGCTGAAAACTTTTATGACGACATTACAACTACCGTCATTGAACATTTAGATTTTTCGTTATGGGTTTTTGCCAATAAATTTAATGGATTCGATACTGAAGATCATCGTGCAGTCTGCAACAAGGTTACAAGCAACCCTAAACTTAGTGTTTGTCAACGACTTAAAAGCGTTTCCTGTTTGTAACAAGGCATCACTTGGACACTCAGACCATGCTAACATAAAGTTATCTCCCATAGTCTATGACAAGACGAATTACGAAGATATTATTCACTGCAAAGATCGTAATTTAATTCGAAGACAATTTATTCCCTTCAAAACTATTACCTCTATGAACTTACTTCAAGTCTGATGTATCGTAGTACCGTATCAGTTAATCAGTTATTTAAACTACTTCAATATATCTGTTGTCCTTTGGAAACCATTTTCATTTGTGCAGACAGGTTTTCATCTCGGTACCTTAAAAGGTTGCGCAGGCTTAGAGAAAAAGCCTTCAAGTGCAAAGACGCTACTTCAGTAAAGTCTTGGTCGACTGATATAACAAATGAAATATGCCGCCTCAACCATATTTGTGTCCAAACTATACTTGGAAAGAACAATTGTCGAGAAATATGGAACATGCTGAAGAACCTGAGTGGATGCGTCCTCAGCGTGACACATTGCTCTCAATGTGGAATAATTAAACCGCAACTTTAGCGTTCAGATAAATGATCTAACATTACACTTACCATCTTTACCGTCACAACTCTCCTCATAACCTTCACCGCCTATAGATAATACAAGAGTTCACAAGGAGTTAATGCGGATACAGTTGTGCAAAGTGCCAGGTTCGGACGGACTATCTCATCAAGTCCTCAAGGGATATGTTAATGTCTTAGCATAGCCTTTTTCTGAAATGGACACCATGTGCCTATAACAACAGAAAGTAGCCGACTGCTGGCAAAGCGCCCGCATTACACCTGTATTAAAAAAGTAACATGTAAGTATCGACCCACTGATTGCACGTTGGTGGCTGGAGATATCTGAACGGATTACTCGCGAAAGAATGCTTGTCCAAACCCACTCAAGTGATCCTTTTCAGTTCGCCTACCGTAGTTCAAGGTTCATTTTAGATGCATTAGCTTGTCTTTTACACTCCGTGCTCTCATCACTCGATAGTCAAAACAAACCCACGCGGATCTGCTTCCTAGATTGCAGCAATGCTTTCGGGAGTATAAACTGTCAGCTGTTCTTACACGATCTACTCGTTTCCGGAGTTCAATCTCCATTAATACCTTTTCTTACAGACTACTTTGCAATCGTATGCAGTTTACCAGGATTGGGGAGGGGGAAGCTCTTCCTCATTCACTACAAATTCAGGCGTTTTTCTTGGAGCTACTTTGTCCCCATTCCTGTTTTCCACCTGCATTAACTCCCTTTTCGCTCTAAAAGAAGCCATCCTAATGAAGTATGCTGATGACATGATACTTGGCGTACACAAACACATCACAGATTTATCGGCCGACTTACAGTGCTTCTTGAACAACCTCACCGCTCGGTCCAAATCCCCCTCACTCGATGCATCAAAGTGTAAAGACATTCTTTTATCGCTGTCCAAGGAAAGTGGTTATCAGCAACTCCTCGCGCAAAACCCGCATCTTAGTCAGTCTGAACTCCTGTACATTAGTGAAATATCTAAAAGTTGCGCCAAGTCGGGATCTTACGTGGTCTCATCACGTGAATGAAACATTCACTCAAGTCAGGAGACTAACATTCTGTGTCTCCCGACTTAGGTCTTCATCCGTGCCTTGTTACTTGATTCTACGGTTTGTCACCACTTGCGTAATACCGCACTGGACATATTGCCCACGTGTGATATTTCCTGGACAGTTCAAAGCGATCAACAGGTCGCTGAAGCATCTTACTCGATGCAGCGGAATTTCAATTTGGATTTTTGCTGACATTGTGTCTAATCATGTTCGCTCCTGCAAAAAACTGGCGTCTAGAGTACTCATTGATACCAGTCACCCTCTCCACTGTGCATTGTCCGAATGTATCTCGACATCTTAGACCAGACAAACGTATAAAGCTTACGGTACACGTCAGTTGTTCCCTATTTGTCAAGTTTTCTGAGAGACCTAAATGTAGTCAAACAAGACCTTATTGCCAAACTAAATCAATGACATCAGCACTGACACATTTTCAAGTTTGTGGCGTACGCATATACATTTGTTGCATTTTTCTTTAATTTTATATGTGTTTTTACCGTGTGTGTTGTAACTGAATATTCACTCTTCGTGGGTGCATTTTTTGACTTGACTTAACTATATTGTTCTGTGGAACATCTAAACAGCATCAACCCGAGGGGCAAATGCCTAGTCCCGCTCATCTTTCACTGCTCTTTGTGACATCGATGAACGCGCACAATCGGTCCGAATACTCATGGACATGAGTGTTCTAATCAGTTCCTGCGACATCTCGATGAAAATGAAACTTCTCTCCTCATCAACATAGTGACCTAATCGGAGTTTCGGAGAAATTCGCCTCTTTCCACAACTACCATTTACGGAAACAACTTGTCCCATATCATAAAATAGATCGTTCTAATAGAAGCAAAACGCATCTATGTTTATGTGTTTAGTTTTGAGCGAAATCTCTCAAGCTCGAGATCGGATCTAAATTAATGTTTGTGTTTGCTTATCCCACCTCACAGGGTAATCGGTTGACAAAAATTTCCGGTTTGGAAAGACTGGTAAACCTGGAACAGTTATATCTGAGCGAAAATGGGATCACTCGGATTGAAGGCTTGGATAATCTCGGAAAGCTCCAGATCCTCGATTTGGCATGCAATTTCATTAGTGAAATTGATAACATTGACCACCTTGTAGAACTGGAAGAGTTCTGGTTCAACGATAACAAGTTAGCCAGTTGGGACCAAATTGAACGGCTGACGGTATTAAAGAATTTGCGCACGCTGTACATGGAGCGGAATCCCATTTACTTCTCTAACCCTGAGCGTACAAAACATGATCCGAACTACCGGCGAAAAATTCTCCTCACCCTGCCAACTCTGCGTCAGCTGGATGCGAATCTGACCGGAGTCGGTCTATGAACAGTAAAGACCTAGTCATGTGCTTCCAGCGAGACGAGATTCTTCATGCTCAACAACCAGCGCCCGTGCGAATCCTGGTATTGGAGTCAGTGTCTCCGGTTGTTGTATTACACCAACGATGTTTGCCCCTTGCTCACATTTTCTTGTACATTGAAAATATAACAGCATGCCAAATCCCATTTGACTGTAAGTATAGTTTTGTCCACTAGCCGAGAAGACCTAGTAAACATTGCTAATAGTCAGCAATCATCATAGCAGCTCACATGCTAATAGCGGCCTGCAAAGGTAGTCGTAGCCCTAGGCGCCCATAACATGCACAATAATTGAGGTTGATCCGCGACATATCGCAGTTAGAAATCAGTCGTGGAGGTCCACCGCTGTCACCCACTGCTCAGTGGCATAAGTCGTTGGCACGTAATAATAAGACCGTGTGTTCAGACTCAATAGGATCCAGCGGATGCGCGCTACTTACGATTCGCAATAGGACGAGATATCTGTCTGGTGCTTCCCTGGATGTTTGGTGGCTGTCCGTCTGATGAACCTTCTCTCCAGCAACCCCCCGTTGTGTCCATTCTTCCTTACATCTTGTGGTTTTCTCGCTATTTAGTGAAAACGATCGGAACTGGTATGTCGATTAACAGCGTCATTACAAGGGTCATGTGCCCCGCTGCTGGCATACAGTTCACGTTTCCACTCGACCCATACTTTGTGGACGGTTGGAATTTGTAGCGAGTCGTCTAGAGAACTATGACATTCACCCAGTGGACTCACGAATAGAGAAGTCCAGTAATAGTGAATTCTCGCATTGAATCACCTTCCGAACGAAGCTTCTATGGTTCTACTTGGTCAGTCACAGCAGCGAACAAGGACGCATGAGCGTGAATATTTTATAACATGCACCATGCGGCTTCATACGCAAAAACGATGCTATTTTTGAAACGTATCGTAATCCTTTCAGTGCCCCAGATCACTTTTTGAATGATGACTAGATGAACATAGCTGAATTAGACTACCCTGCTTGAATTTTTAAGATGCTACACAAGGTCAGATTGCTGGTACTATATCGGTTGAGAATGTCATCTATTCATCTTTTTCAACACTCATCTGCGCATAAAGAACCTGAAAGGGGTGTATCCTTTCTCAGAAAAATGATCTGTTGCGGCTCGCAGCGTAGATTTCTGCACCGGTCTAAGTCAGATATGTCGCAGAACTCGATCCTTCAGGAAAAAACGGTTTATTCGGCAAAACGAGCTCAGCATAACAAGCATGTAGGAATCCCGATGTAAATAACTAAGTCATTCCCACAACTAACGACGCTGCGGCATTCATTAGATTCTTCCTTTGAATCAGTTAAACAAACCCATTCCAGCGAACCAATCAGAGCGTAGACGAAATATGCGTAGCTGCCCAATCAACCGATCTGTCCGCTTGCTTCGCCATTTAAATCGTACTGTTTTGCCTGCACAGTCCCATCACACCCTTGTTCGGGGCCAGCTGCATCGGCGTCACAAAAGACTCCGCACACTCTTCCGTTCCGCGTGGTATTTGCTGCCCGTGTCGTGATCACTCCTTAAGGCGTCAAGTGTTTTGCTGCAGGTTCACCTCGTTCCCAGTGTCGTCTCAGCTGCACTCGGTTCCTTATGATTATCTTCCCTTCAGCACTGACTTCATAAGATCTTTCTCCAACCTTCTCGGTCACCTCATCTTTCTTCCATAATTTGCTGACACCCGGTATTGGTTGGATCCACACTTCATCATTTATCGATAGCTCCGGGTCCTGCGGTCGTAATAGCGTTTCTGATCTGTCATCCGTTTTCTTAAACCCCTTTGAGCTGCTCATGCGATGGCGAAACAGGATGTAGAAGGTCAATAGACGCAGGCATGGTTCGTGTCCTTCTGCTGTACAAATGTTGCACCGGACTGAGACCGATGTTCAGTAATGGCTTATTGCAAATCTCCAACAGCATTGGATACGGGTCCTCATGAGTGGCTTTGGCCTTCGACAACAACCTCTTGGCTTGTTTGACCGCTTCCTTTGCTTTTCCCTTAGATACCGGCTGGTTTGTCGATGCGAAACTTCACACTTGTTCGCGAAAGCCTGGAACACAGCAGTTGCAAATTGCGGGCCATTGTCGGAGATCCGTTCATCAGGTATTCCGTGTCTGGCGAACTGACATCTCAGCTTGTTGATGACTGCTTCCATGGTGGTAGCCGTAAGTGGATCGAGCTCAAAATAGTTACTGTCATAGTCCACAGTGATCAGTCAGAGAACAAGTAAATTGCTACTTTCTACCACAGCCGATCTGGAATATGCGTAGCTGTCCAATCAGCTGCTCTGTTCGCTTGCTTCCCCATGTAAATCGTATCGTATTTTTATGCTTGCACAATCCCATCACAGGATGGTTGTCCATCCCATCGACGCTACTTGCCACATCATGACATCAATTCTGAAAGTACCGACTTAGATCATTCGCGTCCTCCCTCTTGTTCCGCGCTTCCAATCAAGTTTCAGAGAGAGAGAAAATCCTGAATACCATGCAATTTTTTTCAATCTGCACACCTCTATGTTCCTCAGACTTGATTGATCGGTTTATCTGCATACCGCAAACACCGACATCCACGTCATGGATAATTCGCCCTTCTACATTTTTGGTCGCATTTACGCGCCAGGATATATCCTATCACTAAACCGACGTAATTCGTAGAGCCCTCTGTTGTAAGGACCATCAAACCGCTCGACTGAACAGGGTGTTCAGTTGTGCAGATGTATTTTAACTACGTTGTTATGCAATTCAACGTGTGAATATGTTGGTCCACGATTCACTTTGCCGTCGCCACGAGACTGGACCTTAACGTGGTGCGACGGTTTGCGTACCTCATTGAGCTATACTGGGTGATGCCTCAGGGCATCTCGAGAGCAACTCCTACCAGGTTGATCAATAGCTAGAGGTCAGAAACTCAGTCTCCTGGTCTTCCAAATTAGGGGTTTGTAATGGGATGGCGTCCATTTCTGTACAACTAAATCATTGTCACCTCCCCGCTGCCTTGCGGGCAGGCTTTGGATGAGGACCCTAATCGTCCTCCTGTCTAGGTCTGGGCGCCCTGGCAGTATCCCAGCCTACATACAACCGTGATTTTGTCTTCCAACATAAAGTTCATCCTGCCTTCGCCGGCGCGCACATTATGAAGGGTCGCCTTATCTGCTGCGTACAGCAGGGCGGATAAGCCAACACATGCTGCTGCTGACGCCTCCTCTCGTTCCTTTCTACCTGTTTCTCTTATTCCCATCCCGACTCCCATTACTAACCTCCTATAATTCCCAGGTTAATTGACAGCAACCAAAGTGCCACTGGAGTAGAACCATCTGCATCCCCCTTCTCGCGACACCCATCGGACGCCCATCGGCAACAGTCCCTTATAAGGTCACGCTGTCCCGTTTCCCGGGCGGCGTTCAAAGTTCGCACTCTAAGACAAATAGGTCAACAGGCTGCACTCGCACGCATGTTAGACACGTTGGGTATTGACGTGTGCTGTGTATCCGGAACTATGATCAATGACCCTCACGGGGTTATTGAATTAACTGCACCCGGCTTATCCTCTCGTTATTGGTTGCACACATCTGAAGACGCCGATGTAGCACTCACGGGTAAAGCTGGGGTGGGCATCATTCTAAGCTCCAAAACTGAGCCATCGTTGGTTGCTTGGATTTCGATGAACAGCCCTTTGTGTGCATCCCGTTTGACGACATCAGCTAAGGGGGGTTCACGAAGTAATACAAAACGCTGTTTGTTTGTGATTTCCGCTTATGCTCCCACCGACTGCAGTGCCGATGCTGCCAAGGACACATTCTGTCACGAACTGAACGCGCTACTACGCAGTGCTACTAGTTCATATATTATAGTACTTGTAGGGGATATGAACGCATAGGTAGGGCGTCTGAGCTCTTCAGAAGCTCCGATGGGTAGTAATTGTGGGCTTCACTCCGAACGGACTAACAAAGGTGAGCGTCTGGTGCAACTGTGTGCAGAGCACCAGTTGTTTCTTGGTAGCGCTGCTTTCAGACACAGTGGGCGCCGAAATGCCACTTGGCGTCCTCCTGTAACTGGCCAGAGATGGATCCAAATTGACCACATAGCCATAAGTTACAGGTGGCGTGGTTCCATCCTGGATTGCCGCTCGTACTGGAGTACGTGTGTCGACTCTGATCATGCCTTGGTACGCTGCCATTTCTCCATGAACTTTAACGGGAGGAGCACCAAGCGTCTCCTCCAATTGCCAACTGGGAAATTGTCTCAACCCTCGGTCAAGCTAGCCTATCAAGACGCACTGCGTACCGAACTTTCGCTGTCTTGTCTTAATGACACTGAATTTCAGTGGAATAGGATCTCGGACGCCATGCACGACGCAGGAGCATCTCCTGGTGGCACTATCCATCGTCACCGTACCAGTCACTGGATATCCGAGAGGTCGGTGAACCTGTTGGAATCGAGAAGACACCTCCCGGCTGGTTCTGAACACAATGTGACCTGACGGGCTATTAGGCGTGAACTAAAGCGGAGCCTACGTGCTGACAAGGAAGTCTGGTAGACCAGTAGGGCTCAAGAAATGGAGGAGGCAGGAGCAGTAGGCAATTACCGCAAGCTCTTCCAGCTAATCCGCATCACTGGTTCCAGAAAACCAGGCGTCAGTGAGACAATCAGACAGCACGGGTGCACTGATACACAATAAAGAGCGCCGTATGGCTCGTTTGGCGGAACACTTTCAAGATCAATTCAACTGGCCTCCTGCTCCCGGACCTCTTCCTACTCATGTGATGCATGACGCGCCATGGACGGTTAGTTTAGAGCCTCCGTCGGAAGCTGAGGTCCGAAACGCGATCACAGCCCTCAATCGTTTTCGTGCCGCTGACCAGGATTCCCTCCCACCTGTACTATTTATGAATGTAGGTGAGATCCTCTGCAAATCATTGACTTCCCTATTCGAACGTATCTAGAAGGAAGTGTCCCGGCTAATTGGAGCGAATCGATTATAGTGGCAATATACAAAAAGGGCAATCGCACACACTGCTAACCACAGGGGTATTAGCCTAACGCCAGTTGTGAAAAATTACTGGCCTTGATCCTCGTTCGTCACCTCACTGTGTGACAGGAATCTCGGATTAGTGAAGAGCAGGCCGGTTTCCACTCAGGA